AACAATATAAGCAGCCCCTTAAGATATGCAACAATTCTCATCTGTGGATGGCATCAAATATCGTGGTTCGAAACTTGACTATGCATGATCTACGAAAAATACGGGGATTTTGTGATGGGCATCACTGGTAATACTGGGTTTGAAACTCGAATAAAAATATAAATTAATTTGATAAGAAATGTTGCATATCTTAGGGGCTTCCAAATTTGTAGAATACTTATGGGGGCTCGTAGACAAAACGGTGTGTTGCTCTTGCTTATTTTTTATAGCATACTTTTGCGGGCAATTTGAAAATATTAAAAAAAAAGAGTAACCACCTACTATTGCATTCTGTTCGCCTGGTACTTCAAAATGAGGTTTGGTTGAATATGTTGGTATTGGCGGAACGAATTCGAAGGGACAAATTGGAAAATCCACTTTTAGGTACCAGGCGAACAGAATCCATTAGTAGGTGGAAATGGACAAAATTTTTGGAAAAGTTGCTCACTGACAGAAGCTCTATGCTACTAATTGCTTACTGACAGAAGATTTCTGCTACTGATATAAGATCGCTGCATACAATTGCTTACTGACAGAAGATTTCTGCTACTGATTGCTTACTGACGGAAGATCGCTGTTATAAAAAAAAAACTCGATATCCACCTGCTAGGCGTTTCTGTTCGCCTGGTATCTGGTTTTCAGAATCGACCAATTTGGTTGTCCGAAACATCCCCCACATCCCAAAAATCAAGAACTTCATTAGTTAGTTTTTATAATCTTTAATAATGCGATTTCTACATAAATAATAATTCTGTTTCTTATGCTATATTAGAAATATATTGATATTATTATAGTATAGTGTAACGCTGCGCTGCTCCTCGAAGAATCTGGTCCCAAGCTCTGCCATGCACGCCAGACTCTGCCACTCTGGTTTCCAGCTGCCCCTGTTGATCACTGAATCCTGGAAGAAAAAGAAGAAAAAAGGTCTGTATTTATCCGCTATTTAAATAAATAAATCCCCTATTTTGAAAAAATATTGTTTAGTTTGTCTCTGCATGCCGTTCATTTTATTTGATCAAACTTGTTCAACATCGTGAATATCGTGAACATCGTGCCCTAGATTAGGAATTAAGATGGGAAGTCAGTCGGCGCAGGCAGAGGGAAAAATAAGAACGGAATCTAAACATGAATCGCCAGCCCAACTAGCGCCTCTCCCCCTTTTCGGCAATTTTCCAGGGCTTCCACGTAATTACTTAATGTAAATGAAAGTCCCGAGCGCAACGCCCTCGGACTACAAATTGCATTCATTTGGCCCCGGCAACCGACTAAGTTGTCTCGCCGTTCGGAAGGCAACTCCGAGGGACCCTGGAAACTATGTTGACGTATTTTAGGCCCAGGAATGAATGGCAATATTCGCAGGTTGAACTCCGCCCCCCGCCACTGGATTTCCCAGGAAAAGCACTTAGGGCGTTGAGTAATGATGCGGCCGCAAAAATCACGCACGCCTATTGCAAAAACAAAAGCTTTTCGGGGCGGGGGATTACAGAGACACGGATCCGGGGGTCCGGGTACCCTTACATGGGTTCCGGACTACGAACTACGGACTACGGACTACGGACTACTGACTACGGACTGCGAATTCCGGGCCCTCATGACACGTCAGCGGCAGCGTCTCGTGCTCCATTTGCAGGCATTTATATGTGTCAGCGTGTCAGGACCTTCATCAATCACGTTTTGAGTTATTTGTCAGTCGAATAAATACAGTCGAGAAGTTCTGGGTGAGTTACGGAACATACAATTATGGATCAGTTACTTTTCCCCACTTTACAGAGCTAAAGTGATAAGGAATGTATTTAAAAGAGTCGGGTTCACCTCACATTTAAACTATGATATATATAAATAAAAATAACAGATTTACTTTGTGGGTTATTTGCTTATTTCTTTCAGTGGATTGATGACTGCCCGTATGTGTTTTTTGGGTGATTTCGGGCATAAGAAGCCCCTGACATTTATGACTTACCACTAAAAAGCAGCGTCGTGCCGGCTGTTATCCTGCTCCCCGGATCTCTGGAGCCTGTCCGAGCTGCAGTTCCAGTTTCGGCCACATTTAAATGCAGCCGCAGTGGCGGAGCGACCATTTGTCTTGCTTACCCGAAGGGAAGAAGGAACCCTAAAGGAGGAAAGGCAGTGACAAATCGGGGAAGGGGCTCCGCACAAAGGGACTTCCCCACTCCCCACAGTTCGCCACTCGCCAGATCGATTTCAAAAGCATAAAACAATCAGAAACGCTTTGTGGCCCCGCTATTTTTAGCCGAAAGAGTAAATTAAAAAATTATGCAAAATGTTTTACTCCGGTTTTGTTTATGTTTTGTTTCGGCGGCAGCTTCTGTTTTCTGGTCTCTGTTTTCTGTTTTCGGTTTTGTTCAGTGAACGGGGACAACAGCGAAGACAAACACGAGCACAACTAAGTAAATAAACAAGGAATTGTGTAAAAAGTTTAAATGTATGCAGATGCACGCACGCCCCCTAAAAAAAAAGGGAAAGGGGGCGGAGGGCGGGGGATTGAGACACTCTTTGCATATGAAAACGAGTTTTGTTTATTTTCATAATACCGTTTTACCATTTTCGCCGTTTTCAGTCAGCTTTGAGTCATTTTTCATGCGAAGCGAGCGAACAGAGCCAATTAAAGAAAGCAAATCAGACCACTATCGCATCCAATTACGAGCCACATTTGACATTTTGATGGGCAGCGGTCGGGAAAATCGGGAAGCAACGCTCCGATACCCTGGAAAAAGGGGTTCACATGTTCAGGGGATATTAGCGTATGAAATTGAAACAATAAACTCAGCTTGACAAATTAAATTATTATTTTACGAAGCCCAAAAAACGAGATTACACCTCGTTGCTTCTGTTTTTTCAGGCATTTCGCATGTCGATTTGATTGCGTTTTTAGCATAACGAATTAATTTGTGTTATTTCAACTCTTTTGCCTGATTGAGATTTTGCGCTATTTCAGATCAGATTAAATTGCATTCCGGATGTACATATATAACATAATATCTCCCCGCTTATTTCCTAGTTTTTCTGTGGGAGTAATTAGGGGTTTGGCTTTGCAGCGGCCGAACTCATTTGCAAGTTATTAATATTGGGGCGACACTTTGTCAACGGGTTTCCCAGTCGGGTCACATACTCGGTCAACTTTTCACAGGAGGCTCATTAGGAGAGCCAGTGGGCGAATGCTTGTAGGGTCCCCAGCACTTTCCACTTTCCACTTTCCTTTCCGACTTTCGCTTTCGCTTTCGGCCTGGCTCTCATCTAATTTCATTTCCGAGGCGCAATCAGCGGACGTAGTTCTCGAGTATCCTGTGGCTGCTCCAGTCCTGCCTAGGAAATTAAATTGCGAGCACTATCCGGATTCGGATCCGGGATCGGAGACGTCGGAGACGCCGGAGCTAAGGTTTCGGGAGCGTCTGTCCCTCAATTTCCGCTGGCGCAGCAGTTTATAATTATGGGAGTACTCGGATGTGTGTCTGCACTTTGTGCTTACTCTATTTAGCCTGCAGACTTTGATATCACTCTCTGGATGCCTTGTATCCCTGCAGTTCTCCGGGATCCCTTGGCGTGCGTTGCTTAAACGCGGAGCAATCTGTGTTTAAAAGCGCATACTGATACTGTTTACTGTTTGCCAGCGGATGGCGCCTCTCCTCCGTCGGCCACTTGACTCACTTTCCCTCTTGCGTAAACGGCGACGAATCCCCTCGAAAGTCGTCATAATATGTCACCAGCTCGCTTTCCCACTTGGCGGCGGCCTTCGTTAACCCTTAACCCCTAACCCTTAACCCTTAGCCCTGCTCTCCCGCTTCGCGAGGACGCTTTCCCGGCTTACGTTAAGTGAAACACGAGGAGTTGTGCTTTGTGCGGGGCTCTCGGATCCCCTTATCCCGGCTTAAGTACACGGGCACGCCCACTTGGGGAGGACGCCCACTCACTGGCTCACTGTTATTCCCGTCCTTTCAGTCCTTTCAGCTTTCAGGCTGCCCTGCACAGCGAGTCCTGTGCGAAAGTGCGGGAACCAGAATCACCAGAATCATAGAATCCAGTTTGGAGGGATTACAACCTTCCTTGGTAGCCGGAGTTTTGTTACACACATAGGTTACATAGGCCACTTTTTTCTGCGGTTTTCCCTGGTGAAAATCGCTCGCATTTGTGAGGGCACTCGCAAGGCCGACTTGTTGCAAGTCCGCTTTCTGCAGCTCCACGCTGCAGCTGCCACCTGCTGTCGCCGAGGGCTGCCAAGAGGACACGAAAAGGGATCCGCGGGAGGATGGGAGGATGGCAGGATGAGGAGAACATGAGCAGGAGGAGCTGCTCCACCCGTTCTATCAGCATGTTGGCCCATTCGACCCGACAACCAACAACCAACAACCGACAACCGACAGCCGGCAAAGTGCAAATATGAAAACTACGCTGCCACTTTGTGCTCGAATGCAAATTCCAGCATGTCCTCGCTAACTGCGCATAATGAAATCGGAAAACATTAGCACAACTAACTTTAACCGAGTTACTGGGAATACTGGGGGCATACTGGTATAGAACATATAGAACATACTATATACTATATAGTATAGTATCGTTTAGTACACCCACATGCAGCTCGTGGCACTGAACTAATGGCACCATCCGCTCCATTTAAATATTTAGGTTGCTCGCGGACACCTCGCATTATTTGCACCTGCTTGGGGAATAGTTTTCACTGCGATATCGAAAGCATTATCCACTCCACTAACCCGAGTCCTTTATCGGGATAAACGCATCAGTTTACAGTGAAACAGAAGAGAAGGTTTATTTTAGAAATGAAAGGGAATCTTGAGTCTTGAATTGAACTGGGTTACTTATATTTGCACGGAATTAGATTCCAGTTGAGGACGGGTTGAAAAAAAAAAACAGTAAGCCTAGTGGGTCGGGTGTCCAGCGGTGTCCTTAGGAGCGCTTCCTTTGCGGGGGAGCACCTCCTTCCTGGCCTAGTCCTTGATCACGACGGGCCTGGTGCGGCACCGGCGGACGCCCCCGCCGACCACGTTGCCCTTGCAGCTCCACTGGCTGGCGCGCACCCACTGGTTGAGCGGATCGCGGACGCAGTTCCTCCGGCGGGCCTCGCAGCGGGTCTGCAGCACGCAGGCGCCTTGCTGGTCGCGCCAGCAGCCGGCGACCTTGTCGTCCACGCAGGCCCTGCGCTGGCACTCCCTGGTGCGCTTTCCCTCCGCCTGGGGGCGTGGTCGCAGCCGGGGGGCGCACTGGCCCACGCCGCTGCGGCCGGGGATGTTGCGGCAGCGGGTGATGCAGGTCTCCCTCAGCGGCTCCAGGCCGCTCTCCCTGCGGCGGCAGTTCTTCTCGCGGAGGCGGCAGGCGGGGAGGCGGGTGCACACCTTGGTGGCCCTGTTGCGGATGCACACGCTCTTGCCGTCGGAGATCGGGTTTCCGGTGCAGCGGCCGGGGCAGGGTCGGAGGTCGCCGTCCGCCTGCGAGGAGGCGATCGCCAGGAGGACGAGCAGGATGCAGAGGCTCAGCTTGGTCATGGTTGCTTCTCAAGTATAGCTGGAGTGCTGGAGTGCTTGATTGATGTCTCTCCAGTGATCGATCGGAGCTTATATAGTGCTGGAATACCACTAGAGCGCGTGCTCCCCTTTTTTGGGGACAGGTGTTGCCTTGCAGGCGCCTTCTGTTTTCTGTTTGCCGAGCCATTGTTTTCGGGTGAATGGGAATCTTATTGAGTTCCAGATTTACTTCGGTTTGCACACTGTTTTTACCAGCAAGTACTAGTTCATCAATGTACTTTCACGTGGCAGTAAATGCAGCAGTTCCCTGGTTTGAATGGCTGGCAGGGCTTCGATCTGCAATCACTCGCTTCACTTTGATTTACTTCACTTTTGGTAGCCTCGCTCCGATGAAACGCTTTCAGAGAAGCGTAGTCTTCCCACTCCGAGCTGAGCAGCTGGCGAGCACTTGGGTCGACGACCCCCGAAAGCAACTGAATGCCGAAACAAAAGCTGCACCGCCGCGTGCCGCCGAAGAATGGCTTGGACTCGCTTCCTATTCCCATTCCCACTCCCATTCCCACTCCCATTCCCATTCCCTTTGTGGGTGGCGGTATAAATAGTTAGGTCCGCCGATTGGGTGGCATCAGAAGTTCTTGCAGCTCCAAGACAACAGCCAGCAACCTCGACAATGGCCAGCCACCAACTGACTCTCCTCCTCGGTACGCCCTTCCATTTTCCACTTGGGATTCACCTGACTCACTAACTAACTAACCCTCCTGCAATCCTCCCCAGGCATCGCCTTCCTGTGCCTGTGCGCCGTGGCCAGCGTCGGCGGCACCACCCGCCCGGCGAGCACCCGACGCCCACCGCCGACGACGACGAGCACCGCCCGCCCCACACGACCGCCCCGCCCCACCCGGCGCAGCTGCCCCCTCTTCCCGGAGGTGTGCTCCCGCAGCAGCCCGAGGGTTTGCGGCAGGACGCCGCGCGGCGAGTGCCAGCGCTTCGAGAACATCTGCCACCTGATGCTGGCCAACGTGCTCCGACTGCCCGAGGGAGTGCGCCACACCCGCGACATCGAGTGCCGCAACGTGCGCGGCGACGGCCCCGCCCACCGGCGCCCCTGCTACGAGCCCTGCCCGCCACGCCCCGTCGTCTGCCGCCGCTCGCCGCCCAGCCAGCAGATCTGCGTGCGCAGCAGGAGCGGCAGCCAGTGCAAGGTCCTCGCCAACAAGTGCCAGCTGCGCAACCAGAACTGCCACAGCCAGCCGAGGAACAGTGAGTAGAGTCCCAGCTACATATCCCGATCCATATCCTGATCCAAATCCCCTTCCAGACTGGATCCGCACCGACAAGAGGCGCTGCGGGCAGCTGCAGCTGGGCGACAAGCCACAGGACTGCCTCAGGGTGCCGCCCAGGAGCACCACGCGGCGCAGCACCACCCGGCGCACCACCACCCAGCGCACCACCCGTCGCCCCACCACCACCGCCAGAACCACCATCTAAGCGGTCTAAGGATCGCTTTCAGATCAGACTGCATCCGAAGCAACCAATTTTTTTTTTATACCCACTTCCACTGCAATAAACTTAAAGTAAAACCGAACGAACAGAGCTTCTGCCTTCCGTTCGCGTTGGAATATTCAAGGCAATCAGGGCGAGAGGAACTAGGCAACGGACTCCCAGGACTCCTGTCCTCCTTCGCGTGTCGTCTGGACTCCGGCTCTCCACTTTCGAGGATACCTCTGCAGGTATCATTAACTGTTCAATGTCCTCGGGCGACGGAACGTGGAAAATCCCCGCTAATGACCACTGTAATTTCTCGGATTGCCCTCCCGCTCCGCCTACTCCTAGTGGCCATTGTCCCGGCAACGCCGACGGGGAGGGAGAGCTCGCCAAGAGGCCCGAGTAATAACAACTCAAGTTACAACTGCCGAGCTGCACGTTGTTTTCGATGTGGATGAAATTCCTCGTTGTCCAACTTTCCCCGGAGCACTAATTAATTGATAGATGCCGGCCCAAATTGACCGAAATTGCATAGTCAAGTTGCCGGCTGCGCTCTGGATTCCCTCTCTTGGGGGGACAAGGGGGGGTGTGCGATGAGTTTATTGAATTACGCACATTACGCATACGTAGCGGTGGCCCAAGTTGGCAAACAACAACTCGAACTCGTCGCGAACTTCGCTGGCATAACTTTCGTCTCGTTTCGATTCATTTCGTTTTGTTTTGTTTTGTTTCACTTTGTTTCGATTCGATTCGATTCGATTCGATTTGAGTCGCCTCCTTGGCTGTGGATCGTCTTTAATTAAAACGTGGTCCTCAATCAAACCGAATTCAAGTCAAACAAATCCAGTTTGCGGTTGGGGGCTCTTTGCTGCGGTTTCGGCTACAACAGACACAACACTTCTTCCGGGTTAATGAGAAGTCCTTGTGGTTGCCGTCGATGCCGTGAAAAGCCGAGGATAACGCAGCCAGTGGAGAGACTAGGCACACTCACCGAATAAAACACACCACACTGCATGTACTGTACTATAAAAACACAATTTATCTCGAGTTTGATAGCTTTTACAACACACGGCACTCACTCTTAAACTCTGAAGCCTCCATTTGTTTTGCCAGCCTCGTTTGCCAACTTAACTGCCAGTTTTCCCGACCTCCGCTCCTCGGGTTTTCCTTTCCTCCTTGCTTTCCCATTCGATTCCGTTTTGCGGCCTCCAAATTTATGACAATCATCTGCATCTGTTGAACACTGGCCGGCGGCAAAGCAGTTTGTCATTTCGATTCGACCTAATGAAGGCGAATGAATGCCAAATGCCGAGTCAACAGCCTGCCACGCCCACATACGTCCACCTAATTTGGGCACAGGGAAACCAACAGGCACAGGCACAGTCGAGGTTATTAAAGCTAATTGCGTGGATTCATAAATTAGAAACACCTTTGATTGCGGGTTCGTGACTATATCCACTATATCCCACTAGAGCCACTAAAGCCGCCCCGTGCATATGTTTTGGTGCCAATGACTGACTGACTGACTGACTCACTGAGAGACTGACTGACTGACTGAGTGACCGCCACTCATTTGGGGGCATTCACCCAGCAACTCGGCGGTCAAAAGAAGTTTTAAATGGGTCTTAAAGTATTCAAGCAAATAAACTTAACTCCAAATAAAACTATTCGCTTCAGAAAGTATTTTCAGAGTGGCTGGCCATTGTCCTCGTGGTTTGCGAACCCCTTGAAGAGCGGGCATAATTTACCACTTGGCTGGCCCAGAAGAGCACTATCATAGGTTTTCGGGGAGGCGGAATGTGCGGAGTCATCGCTTGACACATCGGAGCAGAATACGCATAGTCGAGGACAATTTCGGGATGATGGATGGCCATGATTGTGCTCCACCTGCCACATGCCACCTGCCACCTGCCCTTATCGAAACTCCACTGAAATTAATCACCGACTGGAGGAGGCGGAATGCTTTTGGGAGCGGGGAACGAGTTGGGCAATGTTACATTCACGCTCTCGAAATAGATTCCATCTACGCATTTCACTGCATTACGGGGACTCCTGGATGTTTGTGGCCTGAATGGCCATCCGAGGAGAACAGAAACTAAAAATTGAGGCCACCATAACCATAATCTGAAACGAACTGCCGAAATGCCAAGCTGCCAAACTGCCAGAAAGGACAGACAAAGACAAATTTCGCCCGCAATTAAACATGCAACCCGAAGTGGCAAGTGGCAAGTGGCGAAGAAGCACTCAGACAACCGCTGGAAAACGTCGTTGGAGCCTCAATAAAAGCCCGAGACACATTACCGAGCCACATTTATTTTAGTCGGTGGTCCACATTCTCTGCAGTAATGAGACAGTAATGTGACTTACGCCGGATTCCATTAAAAACTTTGATGTCCCGAGCAAATGTGAAGATGCCACGGGAGTCAGGCCACCTATACTCGTACTCCTATGCTATCATAATTACATAATTTGGTGGCCAAACTCACCCCTTACCCCACATCCACATCCAAAGCCAATTAAATGAATAGTTGGCATTCATTTCGGCGGTGTGTTTCTCACAATTATGCGGTGGCGGAATCGAATGCCGCGGTGGCTTCCCGGAAGCGGCGACCATTAATTGCGAAATGCGGTTTTGCCGACAGCTGGTAAGCTTCTCATCTGGAGATCTGCCACCCGAACTCCAATCATCCAGCTTCGAAAAGAGTAATTATTAGCAAAGACAAACTTAAACCACATTATTTTATAATGTGAACCATAACTTTTCTAATTGTAATCCGATTTCGAAGTGGCACACCCCCAAAAGCTTGTAGTTTAGTTCTCCAACCAACTGTTAGCAAGGAATGCATGGATTATGCGGGTATTAATTAGCCGGCCTTCGATTATCCACACCCTCGATCTGGGGCACCGTTGGATGGAGGAGGCATGGAGGCTTCCCCTGCCCGCGGCTCTCCCATGAGCTCATCTGGCAGACACGAGGGAAAGGGGATGTCCATGTGGGTTGGCATGGGGGGATGGGGGGGATGTGGGGATAATGGGGCCTTCGGCAGACACACTCGTAAGCCACACGCAGCATTAAATTGGCATTAGGTCAGCCAGTGGACCAGCAGCCTGTTTCTCTGCTCTGCTTCTGTTTCTGCTGCGGCCAAAATTGGATTGAACTTGACTTGTTTTCCTTTCTGTTGCCAAAAGCAGACACTCCCCACTCGAGTGGGGGTGGGGGTGGGTGTGGTGGTGCGGGTGGTGGTGGGGCAGGGCACAACGTGCCACATTGTCGCTCTGACTCTTATTTATTTTGTTAGACGCATTTTGAAAAGCCAATAAGCAGCTTTCTGATTGATTATCTGCTGCCCGCTCATTGTCTCCTTGCTGATTTTGGCTCCATGGCGCACAGTGAGCTACAGTGAGGCCCGCCTATGGTAGATAAATCTCGAAACAGCAATCATTAACAACTGCTGCTTGTCACATTTTGAGAGGGTCGCTCCCAGCGAGGGCCCACTGTCTCCTTTCGCCTGTCCATCATTCGGTCCTGCATGTGTGCGTGTGTGTATGTGTGTGTGTGTGGGAGGCGTCAATCAATTTTGAGTGAAATAAATGAGGCTTGGCCTTCGCTTTGGGCAAACGCAAAGGCAAAGGCTTAAAATTGTAAATTCCTCCCAGACAGATATTAACCCGTCCCCCGTAATAAATTGCTGCCATCTCATCGGAGAACCTCAGCCTCAACCTGAACCTGAGCCTGAGCCTGAGTCGGGTTGTCCTGTCCAGGTTGCAAGACATATATATACATATATATATACTCGTATGGCACAGAAAGTTGCCGAAATCCCATGACTTTGATGAAAAGTTTCCCTCTGCGAGCAAACTCTGCCAAATATTTGGGCACTTAGCCCGCCTGAGCGGCGCTTCTGGCCAAAGTGCATTAAATACAAATGAGCGAGTGCCGCAGCCTCCGCACTTTCCCCCCTGTGGCTCTTTGGCTCTATGGTTCTGTCACTCTACAACTCCGGAAAAGCGGTGCGAAAGTTTGCAGTTTCCCAAACGCAAGTGCAGCCTGCAGAGTGTTTTCCACGCCAAACTTTTCCCGCGTCACAAAAAATGCGAGGTTCGCGCATTGTTGGTAGTTCGCTTAAGTGGCGGCACACTGTTCCCAGTTCCCTGTTCCCTGTTCTCAGTCCCCTGTTCCCTGTTCCCGGTTCTCTGTTCCCTGCTACCAGTTCCCTGTTCCCGGTTCTCTGTTCCCTGTTCCCGGTTCTCTGTTCCTTGATCCCTGTTCCCTGTTCCCTGTTCCCTCCCATTCCGATCGCATCCCAGACAGAAGACACAGCTTGCCACTTGGCGTTGACTCAATGCTGATAACAGCAATCGCTCGATCAGACTCTCAGATTGCTGCCCTGATAGCAAAGCTGGCATAGCTGTCATAGCTAGCATAGTGCCTTCGATCCGGAGCAATCAGTCTGCTGAGATGGCTCTCCAAGTGCGCTTCTGCCTCCGATGGGAGTGCCTTCTTCTGGCCATCCTGCTGGGCTTCCCCCCGATCCAGGGGCTCGATCCCTGCCAGGACCTGTACAAGGCGGCCTGCGGCAACTGGTCGCGCACCCACGCCGGCGATCCCTACTGGAGCCTGATGGACCAGCTGGACTACGACTACCAGGACAAGCTGGCCGCCTTGCTGGAGCAGGAGTAACCAGGCCACCTTGGAGCTCCACTCCACTAACGAATGGCTTCTTCTTTCAGGAGACCGCAGGAGGAGCCACGCTTCGTGCAGCCCCTCAGGGACTTCTACGCCTCCTGCCGCCGCCCCCTGACCCTCGACCAGGTGCTGGCCATCCTGGAGAGGATGAGGCGGAGCGGGCGGCTCGAGCCCCTTGAGCTCACAGTGGCCCTCACTGCCGCCTTCCGGCTGAGCGTCCTGGTGGAGATGGAGGACTGGGCGCACACCTGGCTGCAGCTGCTCACCCGCGACGAGGACTGGGATCCGGAGGAGACCCACAGGGAGCCAATGAGTCGCCAGCAGTTCGACCTCCTCTGGCTGGACCCGCCCACTGGCGCCGCACCCCCCAAGGAGGCCTTCTGGGTGGAGGTGCGCAGCCTGGAGTCGTTCCTGACCACGGACCCCGCCTCCTCCTCCTCCTCAACCTCCCTGCAGGAATGGGTGCCCGCCTTCTGGATGCTGCCCTGGCCCAAGTCCAGGCCCCCCAGCGGATTCCTAATGCGGCTGTCCCGCCTGCTCGCCGAGCTGAGCCCCGCCTTCCTGCTGCCCTACATCCAAATGAGACTGAGGCTGAAGCGGAGTCTGGAGGAGGGAGCCACCTCCAATTCCACCTCCACCTTGACTGGGGATTGGAGGATCGAGCGGTACGAGTGCGCCGAGCAGGCCAGGCAGCTAATGAGCCACCCCGCCGCCTGGCTGGTGGAGCGGAGCCACCCGCGGCTGAAGGAGGAGCCCGCCCTGCAGCAGCTCTTCGAGGAGCTCAAGCGGAGCTTCGGCCAGGAGCTGCGGGCGAACAGGAACGGCTTCTCGCGGCGCACGCAGGGCTTCCTGCTGGCGAAGCTCGACAGGATGCGGCTGCGGCTGAGCGTGCTGCCCAGGAGCGGCTCGCCGGAGTCCGTGGAGCGGCGCATCGAGCGGCACTACGAGAAGGTCCAGATGGACCCCAGCGACTACTTCGGGAATCTCTGGGCGGCACTGCGCCCCCTGAGACAGCGGCGTCGCTGGAGGAAGGGGATGGCCTCCGGGAGCGACCTGTTCCCCGTGGGGGGCTGAACCGCTTCGGCAGCTACGCCTCGCCCTTCTACCTCGTGGAGCACAACTTGCTCATCGTGCCTCTCTCGCTCCTGGGACCCCCGCTCTACTCCTCTGAGCAGCCGAGGAGCGCCACCTACGGAGCTCTGGGCTTCGTCCTGGGCCACGAGCTGAGCCACGGCTTCGGACCCGACGGAGTGGCCTTCAGTGCGCGAGGAAAGGAGAACGCCGCCGTGGAGAGGGAGCTGCAAAGGAACCACCGCTTCCAGCGGGAACTCCGCTGCCTCCGGCGGAAGTTCGGGGGGAAGCGGGACGAGAAGTTCGCGGACCTCAGCGGACTGCAGCTGGCCCACTCCGCCTACCGCCTCCATTCCGATCCAGATGCTGATGACGATGAGGAGCGGCGGTTCTTCCTGAGCTTCGCCAGGTTCTTCTGCTCGGACGAGGGTCGGATGGAGAACAGCCGGGAGCACGGGAGCGACAGGAGGAGGGTCAACGACGCGGTGGCCCAGTTCGAGCCCTTCCGAGCGGCCTTCTCCTGTCCGCCGGCGCGGCATCGCAGGCAGTGTCGCTTGTTCTAGGATTTATTGGGTGACGAGTGCCAGGATGGGATAGCCACTTAAACAGCTAATACCGCCAGTTAATAAATACGCATACTCCAAGTGGCATTTGGATGGACTTACGTGATGATTACGCTCCATTATGGAAAACACTTTGGGGTGACATTTAGTTAGTTCATTTATTATTTGTTGGATGCACCGTCGAAATGTATGTACAAAACCAATTCGAAATCAGACGAATAATCAATAGTTAACACGTTCCGCCAGGCAGACGACCCTCAGCTATATTTACGTTTAGAGGTTATTGTTGAGATTGCTGCTCGGCTTAGTCGCAGTTTAGTTGCTTAGTTGGGTATTAGTTCCTTAGTCAGCTAGTTGTACGCTTTAAACACTCAAACTGGAAACTGGAAACTGCAAACTGCAAACTGCAAACTGTAATTGTAAACACTTGACACATATCAACACTGAATTCCAATTGTTTATCCTGATCCTAAGTCTAGAAAAAAAAGGTTCGTAGCCTAAGTCGGGTTGAAATTCGATACCACTGATTTACTAGCTTAAGTTCTGTTTTGTTTTTGGTTTTTCTCTCCGTTCATTTAAATAGGTAAACGCTGGGGCTCAAAAGGTTTACGAATTTAAACGAGTTTCCAGTCCTACAGCTAGCTACACTTAAAACTCCGATTAGGTTACAAAAATATTTTACAAAAGGGCGCTCGAAGGCCGCCGAAAATAACGTTCTACCTACAGAAGCCTTAGCAGCTAACACTAATAACTTTTATTGATTACTTGCATTCAGTTGAAGGGTTTCCTGTTCTCCAGTATATTTCCCCATTGTTGGGAATCCCCGCCAGCTATCAGCTCCCGATTCCATCACCTATTACATAGATTCCGATGACCTTATCCGAGAAGAACACGAACACCTACTGGAAATACGACATCGACGCACAGCAAACACACAGATTCAAGTGAGTGTTACCCATTATCCAGGCTTATTATACATAGTAGTTTGACTTCCCTACGATCCTATTTGTAGTTTTCAAGTGGCCTTCGGCTGTGGATACGTGGCTATCCGAACTCATCCCTCTGGCTTCTACCACTTCTTTTCAATCCTGCGTTCCTCTTCCGTTCCTTCCTCTGAATTTGAAACCTTTCCGGTTGGCCTCGCCCTCGAATCCCTCTACATGTAACTGGGGGAAGTGGGAAGTGGACTCCCTCCATCTGGACTCCCTCTATCGAAGGGAGAGGGCCAACCTAAACACTAAGCCTAAACTGCACACTCGCGGGGGCTCCGATCCGCTCTCCCCCCGAATCCTCTGAATCCCAGCACTCCGGTCTAGACGTTCCGCTCCTCGGCGATGATCTCCATGGCGACGTGGCTGACCCGCCGCTGCTGGCCGGGATTGGAGTGCGTCTGCAGGTGGTGCGTTACCAGATGCTGGTGCTGCGGACGGGGCTCCCCGCCCACCGAACCACCTGACCCACCACCACACTTGGTAGTGGTGGTGGTGGTGGTGGCGGTGGCGGTGGCACGTCGGTGGTCGCTGCTGCCCCGCCGCGGCACCAACATCACCAATTACTAGAGGACCGTCTCGTTGGTGTTGGTGCAGGTGCGGGCCCCGTTGACGATGGAGTACTTGGTGGAGGTGTCCTTCTTGGCCATGAGCCGCCCCAGGAAGATCTCCTTGAAGGTCTCGCGGAACTGGCGCGACATGCCGCAGTAGATGCCGAAGTTGATCGGGTAGCTGACCACGAGGAAGAAGTTGGTCAGCATGATGCAGATGTTGGCCAGGCCGTAGTCGAGGAACTCGATGATCAGCGAGCTCACGATGTGCATCACGGTGACCACGGCGATGGGGATCTCGGCCAGGAGGAACACGGACACCACCACGATCAGCATCAGGGTGGTGCAGTTGGTCTCGCGCAGCTTCTTGCACTCCTTCTTCCTGTTCTCGCGGAAGAGCAGCTTCCTCCGCTCCTGCGCCTGCCGCATCGCCGCGAACAGCAGGATGTTCAGGGTCACCAGGATGATGCACGGCAGCAGGTGCACGAACAGCACCCGGAACAGGTAGTAGCTCGTGTAGTACAGGTCCACCCCGATGTACTCGTGCACCCAGAGCGCCGTCTCCAGGTGGCACACCTCGGTCGCCTCCCCGTTCCACTCGATCTCCAGCGGCATGTAGGTGCGGTCGAAGAAGCGCGGCAGCTGGTGCAGCAGCGCCAGCAGGGCGATGTACGCCGTGCACCGCCGCACCCGCGGCATCGTGCACCAGGTCCTGGCCATGGGGGCGTGGCACACGTAAATGTACCTGCGGAGAGATCGGATCAGATTCAGATTCAGATTCAGACAGAAGGCATTGGAATAGAGGAGGGGATCCCTATCAGTCTCCTAAACAGTCAATTCGTTTTCTAATTTCACCGAACATTTGCAATTCAAGCAACCAAGCGAGGAGCTGCGATTTAAGCCCAAGTAATGTGTCTTACGGCTTATAGAGCCCCTTCCAAATGCTTCCCTCTCCTGCCGTCAGACGTTAAGACCCGGTAACGAGCTCTTTGAATTTGGCTAATACAATTTTATGGCCGTTGCCCCGGCCAGGAAGAGATAAACCAATTTCCCCAGGTGAGAATTTACGATCGCAATGTGGTGACAACGAACTGGCGAAATCCCAATTTGTATTTCCACCCTCCTCCGTTGCCGTGGAGCAGCCGTGGAAAAGCCGGGGAAGGGAAAAGCCGGGGAAGATGCAATCAAAGGCCATCTGAAAAGCTAATCAAGTTGGCGCTTTGTAATTTCATAATTTGAGTAATTTGTCAGGCCGTCGTCCTGTTGAGGAATAAATTCGTTTCCTGCGACGACTTGTGCGAAAGTTCACCGAATTATAGTTGGCCGAATACCGCCCACCGCCCACCGCCCTCCGCCCACCGCCCTTAATTTTCCAATCAGAAAACCGAACTGAACGAACTTTGATGGTCGCTGGCTTGGGGCCTTTCGCTTGGAGGTTGGAGGTTGGAGGTTGGGTGTTGTTTGTTGGTGGTTGGGTGGCGCCCTCAAGGTCCTCGGTGATGGCCTAATTTATGCGCATAATTATGGCCACGCCCATTGCGCTGGCACTTGAAAATGCTTTTCAATCAATCTTTCATCGAACCTTTGTCAAGCGGGGATTTCGTTAAAGTTGAAGGCGAAGGCGAAGGCGTTTGCTCCCAAACGGAACTGATATTAATAAATGAATGGCATTTAGCTGGCTTACGTTCTCTGCCTGAGTCATCTCGGCCATTTAGTTAATTTGTCCTAAAAGGCTGCCACAAAGGAAAGGAAAGCACTGAAAAAACAAACCCCACAACCCGTTTAAGAAAAGAAAAAGAAGCCAGAAAGAAGGACCAACGAGTCAATCGAGTGCAGCATCCATGGAAGAAGCGACGTCGCTCAGTCGTTCAGTGGGATGTTATGCAAGAGATAAGACTGCGAAAGGACGAAACAAAGGATATCCCTTTCACCCTTTTAGTGGGATTACTGGCTAAGTGGAGGCTTGTTTTGACAGCGGAGTGACTTTCGAAGGTGCAAGCCAAAAGCTGAAAGCTGAATCCCTTTCTTTTCCCAGAGTGTGTTTCTCCCAGCCAGTGTCAATTAATTTGATTTCCTCAAGAGTTTACTCCTTCTCCGGAATTCATTTAAGCAGCGAGGCTAAGGATATTTCCGGTCTGTTACTAATAACTGATGGGCGTTCGATTTCAATCGCCAAACTAATAAGGGAGCCCTTAAATATTTATAGTTCGACGAATGTCCCCCGCAGAAGGCCTGCTGAAAAGTGTGCCAATGGGCCGGCACTTTACGAGTACAAAGTACAAAGTGCAGGCCTCCCACATATGCATACATCATATACATCATACGTTTTTTGTTACATGAAATTTTTATGGAGAGTGTCACTCACTCAGTTCATTCGAGGCACTCGAGAGCATTATGCGACCCACTTGCCCACTTTCCCGCTTCCCCACCTCTCCCTCCTGCCCCGCCCATCTGAAAGGGCCATAAAAACACTTGAAATACAATAAGTTGACAACAGCCACGACAACAACAATAATAACAATAAACGCTGAATGTTTTTATCGTGCTATTTGTCCTCGGGCAATTTTCAACGCATTTTAGAGGGAGCCCTACCCCCTTCCCCCGTTCCCCCCGTTCCCCCTTCCCCCTTGCCACTGCTCTACCTCTGTTGCCTTTTCCATATATAGTATATATATATATTATTTAGCTATTTGCTGGTGCAAAGCCACCCAGCCAGGGAGCCAGGGAGCCAGGGAGCCACCCCTCCTCGGTTTCAGCCACTTGAAAGCGGCCCAAAGTCGCATAATGGCCCAAATATTTATGACTATTTTTTGGTCGCTCTTCAGCCACCACTCCACTTTGCGAATTTATTTGCAAAGCTGTAAAATTTATGATCCCACACATGAGTTAATAGAACAAAGCGCCGGGCCAGCGCCATCATCTCCAGAATACTCGTATTTCGTGGAGCCAACCAAGCCGACCAAGCCGAAGGCAATTTTTTGCGAGGACAGGGCCAAATTTATGCTACCCATTCGAAATTAGTTTATTGTTCACATTAGTGGTTATAATTTATGGCCCTAGTGGAAGAAACAGTTTCGGTTGCGGTTTCGTTTTCGGTTTAAAGACCCCAATCGATTGGCTGGCTGGCTCGCTGTCTGTCTGAAGTGTAACTCGCATCACTCATACGCAGCGTCTGCCGCGCAAGGTGAGCCCATTCGCTCGTTTTCGGCCCGAGGCATTGACATCTCAGTTTGGCCCACACGAGAACTGATTTATTGCCGCCATTGACAAGTCAACGAGTCAGTCAGTCATTCAGTAAGTCAGCTAGTCAGTCAGAGAGTCAGTCAGCCACTCACATTTTTGGTTACATTTCGGTTACAACTGGCGAACCTGCGAAAGGCGGGCTCGCTTATCGGCCTAATTGCATACTAACCTTTGCACGGCGAGGGCCAGAGTCAGCCAAACGGAGATGGTGTGGCACAGGGCAGGCATAATCTGTAAGCAGAAAGCGGAGAGTGTACTGTACTATGGTGTGTAAGTGGCTTTGGGGCAGCAGAAGTCGCAGTTGGAATTACTCGGGGCTTGCAGCATACTTTTGGGGGCAACTGTGAGCAAGAACGGAGGCAGGTGATTCTTTCTCAGTTAATTTACTGGATGCGAAGGCCTCACAAATACTTGCTGGAGTGTTATCCACATTTCAATCATTTCTTCTTGGCTTCGTTTGCCCAGCATTTGCTATCAGAACCATAAAGGGGGTTCGTAATGGGTCCGTATTATGGCTTTGGCATTTAATATCCATCGCAAGGGAATCACCATTTGGCCACAAAGTCATTCCTCAGCTCGTCTGCCAAATCGGATTTGTGGCCTTTAACTGCATAAGCCGCAAGCAAGGAGTCTGGAATGCGGCATCTGGAATTCTGGCAACTGGGAAATGGCAACTGGCTGGCTGGATGGCTGGATGGCCATTTGCCGGCTCCACCTGGACAGGTGGACAGTTGAACGGGAGGACAGGTGTCTGCTCCATTTCGGAGCGCAATGAGTGCGGCCCTGCGGCGGACAGGCGCTCCACGGGCGGGATTCCGTGTACTTGACATCCGACTCGGCCGTATAATGCACAATCTGTGGCCTAATCCAGTTTATGTGTCTGACTGGGCTGCAATTACACCGACATGGCCAGATAACTCGGCTGGATGCTGGATGCGGGATGCTGGATGCGGGGTACTTTACATTGAGGCGGTTACCCCCTTTCCACATTAACATGCCCATTATGCGCGCCATTTGGAGCGAAGAGATGGAGAAACGGAGGACGTGCTGCCAGAGCAAATAAATTCGGGGAAATGAAATGAAACGGAATCTTCAGCGCGGCTGAAGGCTGCAATGGCCGCCTGGCGGTTATTACCGAAACGAGGAGTGCGGCTCCGCAGGATGTGAGTTGAATTTTATGGCAGTCATACGCAGAGATAGTCCGCTATTCCCCCGGAATCCGACTAGACAGCCAGCCAGCCAGTCAGCCCAGCATGGAGTTCGGAATCTGGAATGGCTGCTACAAATCCCCGGAGAGTCCACTAACAGCACGTAGCAGCGATGAGGAGGCACAGTGGGCCAGAGTGCCTCGAAAAGGGAGTGGGATGCCAGCTCGCATCTACCCGATCATTTCAGCTGGAGCTGCAGATCAAAGCTAAGGCCAAAGTCTCATCCTGCAGGATAGCGAAACTAAAAAGGGAATCTTAGGGAACTGGGAAGCGATGCGGGTTGCTCAGTGAACCAAACCACTATGCCTTTTGGCTTTTGCAAGGGCTGATGGCTCATGGCTGATGGCTGATGGCTGATGGCTGAGGGAGAAGGGGTGGGCGGGGCTTTATCAGCTTGACACTACTCCATTGAAGTGAGTAAACAGTTTTGCTTTGCCACCCCCTGAGCCTCCGTTCGTCTGAGCATCTGAGCCCCATCTGAACCCCTGACCCCCATTCAGCGCCCTTCGAGTGCCATAAATTGAAAATGTTGATTAATCAAGGAGAACGTGCGAAGGGCGGGAAAAGCTGGAAAGCGGGGAGGCCTGCAGTTTGCATGGTAATGGTGGAAAAGCGCTCTCGAATGAATAAGTGTTGTGAATGGCTGAATGAATGGGTGGATGTGTTTGTGAATGTGGGTGTGAATGTGGATGTGAATGCGGATGGGGATGGGGATTCCCCGCTTCGAGGGGCAGCAGGTGGCAAATGGCAAGTGGCACTAGCAGCGTTTTTCATTCTTTCATTATGCTGACAGAAGTGACACACACAAAAGGCGAAATCACGGCAAATGGGGGGAACGTAACGTGGCAGCAAATGCGATAACGATAACGATAACGCAAACGCGACGGGATCCAAAACAAAGCGTCGTTCATCAGCCGGAGAGACAAAGAAAGAAAGGAAGAGAAAGAGAGGGGCAATGAGTGCGGGAAAGGGACGGGGCACACCGTTCCAGCGGAGCATTTTATTTAGGTCAATGAGCGTCGCGTCTTTCGGGAAAACGTGGCTCTAACGCGGCTGATGGGCATAAGGGGAGATGGGTGGTGGGGTGGTGGGGTGTTGAAGTGGCAGGGTGGCTGGTTGGGGGGAGTGGCAGGTTGGCGGGGGTGGAACGTGGCCAGAAGCCAAAACAAACAGTTTTCCGCTCCTCCCGCTTCTTTCGACCAGTCTGGGCAATTAGTTGGTGGCAGGAAAACAAAGGGAGAAGAGGCCACACCATCAGAACAGAAAGATACTTTAATGAAATCTCTTTCCCACTTTCTCCCTGCCAGCTCTGCAATCTTTCACTCCGACTTTAAGGCGGTTAGTTCCCTCAGATCCAAGGAGAAGGAAAACAAGAAGCACCCTGGGATGCTGAGTCTGCTGGGTCTGCTGGGGCTCTTTGTGGACTTACCTCGTTGAAGATGCTGTAGGCCAGACACATGGAGACCGGATGCAGGGGCTTGTAGTGGTTGCCGAATGTGTACATGTACCAGAGCCCTGGTGCCGGAAATATAACCGTCAGCATGTCGCAAATAGCCATTCCTGGAAGGAGGAAACACGGAGTGTGGGGGAGAATTTAAATTATAAATTATGCTAATGCCTATGCAAATCAATTGCGATTGCCAATGAACTCGTAAATGATTGAGTTACTGGGTTTTGCGGATGCGAACGTCGCAATGCTGATGCCCGACTGCCCGCACAATTTTGGATTTTGGGTCGCATCCGCAATCAGATTCCGGGGTTATAATCGATTCGCTGATTAATTATTTACACTTTCCTATGTCAAATGCGTCAAATTGGCTGTTGGCTATTGGCTGTTGACTCTGCTGTTGTTCAAGGAGTGTACTTTGTGGGACACAATAAGGCCTCCAATTAATTGAATCTCGAGTCACCAAGTGGGCGGCCTACAAACTGATTACTAGATAAACCATTAATTTGTGCTTCCAATGCCTTTCTCATGCTGCTGGTAAGTAGGTATCAGTATCAGTAGGTATCCGAAGCAGGGCCAAATCCCCCATATCCCGTATCCCACATCCCCTCCAGCCAATTGACTTCTGCCCCGTTCGCCTTTCCCCGGCCAATGTGTTTAACTGACTGACGACACTCCCTGTTGACCTGACCTTTTGCACTTTGGACAGTGGACCTCTGCGGTTGTGCCGCTGTCTGCACATTTCGCTGGTTACAGAGAGAGAAACGAGTGGGCCATTCTAGTATTGCAGTTCCATGTTGGTTAGCTTGGGTTCGAACTGGAATAGGATTTCTAATGTGTGCAGTCAGTCTTCTCCGTTGTCAATCGATGCACCCACCAAACCTCTGACGTTGTGGCATTTCCATCAGTGACCCATCCACTCTGAACCCACGAACTCCGAAACGTTTCTGTTTCTGTTTCTGTCTCTGTTTCTGTTGCGGTTGCAAGGGCACCGCTGCAGGGCAGAGTTCGTTCCACGTTGGTCCGCTGTCATTTGAGCCAACACGATTAGCCTTGGCCTGCACTTGACACCCCTGTGTTTGGCGGTGGCCTCTTCCCCACCCATCTCCCCACCCATTTGACCCCTCCCCCTTAACCCATTGACAGGCAAGGCGCGCGGACGGAATAATTTAAGATTTAAACGCGACTTTGGCCCTGCTTTCATAGGCAAAGCCTTCGATGCTTCGATGGCATTTCCACGAGGACTTCCCCGCCGATCGGGCCTCGTGTAAGCCACTTTCGCTTACACTCACTTACAGCCCTAGTTTCATTCTCAGCTTCGGTTTCGGTTTCGGTTTCGCAGCTTCCATAAATCAGCGGCAAATTGCGCGCACACAGACTATAAAATGGTCGGAGCAGATGCGAATCTAGCTACTTCCTAGCCAAATATACCTTATACACCCTTGGCTAAACAACAAAGAAGCTGTGACGATTTTTATACCCTTGCAGAAGGTATTATAATTTCAGTCAGAAACCATATACATTCTTGGTAGAAATCACTATATTATTAGTGGTTTTTCGGTTGTTATAAGGCCAAAAGGTGACTTACAGCGGATCCAAACACTGTTTTGAGCACCTTGTGGTCACAGTTAACGAGCCCAATCACTTATTGGACGATTTAAAAAAAAAATGATTTTTGGCCAATTTTCGCATTTTTGGTAAGGGGTAACATCGTCATTTTTTGCGAAAAATGGCAAAATTTCAAGATTTTTGGGTGTTTATACCATCGAATTCCGAATTTTATTACGAATTCAACGATGTATGCCATTCCACATTTGGAAGATTACTTTCTGAGTTATTGCAAAAAAACTGGGTTTTCTGAGCAAAAAAAACATTTTTCAATGGTAATTTTTCTGTTATTTGGGCAAGAAACAACTTACAGCCGAGCAAAGTATAGTTTTGGAGAACAGAATAAAACAGTGGCCTCGACTGAAGGCAAGCTAGCTCAACATTACGGAGTGTTTATCTGGCTTTCCCTGGAATATTTTCACTCTAGGCAGCGCTTTTTGCCGCGGCAGTCGGCGAGCCATTAGCATTACACACGCTATTAGAATATCTCAGCATTACGCGATGTGGGGCAGCCACAGAGGGATCATGAGGAGGATGAGGAAGGGAGGAAAGGGGGGAAGGGGTCTCCGGGGAGCACGCACATCGCCAGCTATTTGAAATCTCACAAAACTTCTGCCTGATTTAACATTGTGGCACATTAAGCGCCGAAAGGGGCGACGTGCCGAGGCGGCGGCAAGAAATGACAAGGAATGAAAATAAATAATAATCAGGAGAGGCGGCGTCTGAGTGGGGAGGCCAAACTGGGCGGGGATCCCCGTCCTCGGAGCCAGAGATTCTCCCATGTGGAGCAGAGAAGGGAGAAGGGAGAGGACCTGCTGCCTGGTAGTGCATTCTATGCCCAAGGCAGTGCATTGGATTCTTCTCCGTCCAACTAACCAATTAACCAGCCAACCAATTAACCATGAAACTAACCTACTACTTAACTTAGACTGGATAGACTCACCCATGAGCACGAAGTTGGTGGGCGTGGCCATGCTCTTCTTGCTCAGCACGAGCACGATGAGCGAGTTGGAGATGATGGTGATGATCATGAGGAAGGGCATGCAGTAGCCGTAGAGCGGCATCGCGTAGTCCAGCGGGGAGTCGCAGGTGAGGTTCCAGTAGCTGACGTTGTTGTCCACCTGGCGACAGGCGGCGGGTCCCCCGGCCATCTGCTGGTAGTTGGGGTAGTCGAGGCTCTCGCTCCCGTTCCCGAACCCGTACTCCGCCATCCCCAGCAGCTGCGACTCGTTCCCAGGCAGATGAGGCACTGCCCCCTGGCGCAGGTCGCCCATTTCCACTTCCATCTGCATTTGCACTTGCAGCTGCACTTGCATTTCCGGACTGGCGGAGGGGGCGAGGCGGTACTGGTAGAGCAGGTCCGTACTGTTCTCCATGGCGAGTGCTTCAGATTCGGATTCGGGGATTCCCCTCGTTTCCTCCTCAGTTCCTCAGTTGGCAGCGGCGCGTGGCAGGTGCCGCATTTCCGGGATCTATGCGCGGCTAATGGAGTTCGTCCGCTCGGATTCGGATTCGGATTCGGATTCCTTCAGGCAGCTTCAGCAGTTCATCCTGCAAGAGAAGGCGTGTCGAATTAATACATTTGATGGAAGTGCGTAAAATACAGGTAGTTAGTAGGTAAGTAAGTAAGTAAGTAAATGCAGGGAATGCAAGGAAACCACAACCAGAAGACGGGAGAAGGGACTTGGAAGCCTTGGCTTTAATGTCTGCTTTATGCCAAGACAAGACAATCGCAATTTGCATTTGGTAATCTCGTTTGGCATTCTGCTGCAAACAAACCATTGGTATTTACCCAGACTACTTTGTACGCATCTCGAGTTTAACTTTGTGCCAGCAAATTCGCCTGCGTAAAGCCACTTGAATTGAAATCGGGACGAAGGCTCTCACTTTGCTGTTTGCTGTTTTCCCAGACAGACGGACATTTCCATAGTTTTCGGTTACTCTTGCTGCAGTGGAGCACATTAAAGCACAATTGCGAAGTTTCGCCCCTTGGTTCCGCCCAAGTTACGTTGATTTGTTTGTCCGAACTGCGAACTACGAAACTCGGCGGCAACTTGTTAGGCGAAAACTTTTCGCATTGTCCGCAAACTGTAAAAATATGCCATCAAAGGCCCCAAAACACTTCCGCTCCGGGAATAGCCCACCGAAGGGCCAACTTTCATTTGCCTGAGCGATTTCGATTTGCTAAAAGGTTCGGAGGTTGTTTGTTTATCTGCCATGTTCAAATCGGCCATGATTCGCTTTTTGTTCGACCTGCGGTGCCTGGGGAAATGCAATCCGAGTTGAATAAATTGTGTGTTCTCCACTGATTGGCTGTGCGATTGATAAATCATGGACCGGCTTACTCAATTAGGCAGAGTTCATTTGGGAAGCTGGGCTTCAGCTCAACAGTTTCCACAGGTTTCCTGTTCTCTTCAAAGGTTCCCCCTCTGTAATTTCAGTCACGACGGCAATGCCAACTATTTCATCCTGCGAGCACCCCGCAACTTTGTCGAAAATGACAACTCTTGGTCCTCCGTTTGGCCATGATCTCAGAGCCAAGTTATTACAGGGCATTCCGCATGTTTATGTCATGTTTATGCTGCCTTTTTAATGGTTTTATTTTCGCATTGCCAATCCGAGAAGTTTCCCAATATTTCGGCTTGCCGTTTGCCATTCTCCACTTCTCCTTTGTCATGGCCACATTGACCCACATAAGCGCAAGAAGAAGAACGGGCCCGGGGTCAGGGGTTGGGGGTCAGGGGTCGTGGTTGTCTCCGAGAAGAAAATTGAATGTGGCCGAGAGACCGAAAAACTCATTCATTGGCATATTTCTCTGGTCGCAGCATGTTCTACATGCCTAATGCGATTTAAGTGGGCCATTTCGAGGATGGAAAGCGGGAAAGGCGGGGAGAGCGGGGAAAGTGGCAACTGAAATGGAAATAGGCAAAATTAAAGAGAACTTCACGAATCGAATTAAAAATTGAATCCATAAAAGGAGCGCCGCAATTCGACAAATTCGATTTAAATAGGCTCAATTGCTGTTCTGTTTTCTGTTTTTGATATTCCCAGAAAAAAACACTCTAAATAACACAATTAAAACTAGAGCTCATGCCAATTAAAATTTAATGAATTCAAAATAAATTATTTAAATGCCAAATGCCAAATGCCTCCGTTCGGATTTAGCAATTTTGTTTATGGACACTGCCGCCTCTGCAGTTTATTTATTTTAGACTTAATCGCCGGGCTCATCAGTAATGTGAGCACAATGTACCGCATTCAAATTGAACAATCGAATGCATTATTGGATTATTTCCGGCTATTTTGCCGCGGATTGCTGGCCATTAAAGGGGGATCGGATCGGAAGGCGCTGGGAGATGGGAGATGAGAGCTGGGAGCGGAAAACAGCCAAACGGAATAATCAACTTGCCATTGATTGTTGGCTGCCAATCAACGCGAAATCGAATGTCGCGGAAACATGCAAAATGCAATCAGGGCCGCCGTCTCAAGCGGCCAAGTGAAGCGAAGGGGAAGTCGGCGGAAAATCCCGCGGAAAACTCACTGCGAAAGCGAAAACCCATCACTTGCAGCCGCGAAACCGCAGCGGAAATAACTCGGGTCCCTCATCAGCCTCAACTGGCATCGGAGTCCTTTAATTGGCCCTGCAAAGGAAAGCGCTCCGCCGCGAGTCGAGGGAAAGCCGGCGGGAAATGCGCTCCATTCCGTGCTCCATTCCATTCCGACTGTCAGCCATCCGTCACTTTGCCTCGTCTTCTGTATTCAGTGTCTGTCCGCCCTGAGAAATATAATGCCGAGAGTCTTCGAATGGATCCCCCCTTCCCTTAGCATGCAACAAAGTAGCCCAGATCGATGGCCAAACGGTTGCGAGATTAGTCAGTTTGCTTAACTCCATTCACTCCTTCCCTTCAATGGGAACTATCTCTGCCCAACTCCATTCACTCCTTCCCCTTATGGAGAACTATCTCCAACTATCTGTAACTATCGAACGTGCCGAACGGCGGGCGTTTCCATCAAGGAAAACTCATTTGGGTGCGAATGCGGCGCCGCTTAATTAACTTAGGTGTTGCCATCGATTTCCCGGAGCCCACTAATTAAGCTTCAGCCCGGGCTCCTCTTTGACACACGCTCTGATCTATTTCCCATCTAGTTTTCCCTTTTCCCATCTCCCTTCCCCTTCCCTTTCCCTTTTCCCACCTTTCACACAAACATTAGCCGCCATCTTGATCTATTACTACGTGAGCGAGGAAAGCCCAAGGAGACGCCGATGGAAAACTTCAGCAAGGACGGGCACGCAGATGCAAATCTCCCCTGCAAACAGCACGTGCTCGCTTCTCAGGGCACTGCGAGAAAAGAGGGGCGCTAGCTCGAATAATTCGGTAAATAATAATCACGTTCGGGGGATCGTATATTAAGTTTATGCAGGGAGTCAATGGAACTACGTTTGCAAGCCGGATCGAGGGAATATTTCCATATATCCACTGGTTAAATGGTTATGGGTTTTTCCCGATGCACACACACACACACACCCACACACGCACACCCACCGGCAGGCTCTCACCCACACTCTTGCACAGGCGAGTCATCATCATAAAGCGATTAGCAGAACTAAACTGCCATTAAAATGCCTCGGCTTCCGCCTCCCTCGCCCCGTCCCCCTCGCTCACTATCCCCCTCTCGCTCTCTCCAAGGAAGGACTTCCTTTGCTGCCCAAATGAATTTCCAATATGTGGTGTGTGGAGCAGGCAGGATGGACGAGCACTCGATGGACGAGCACATTACCACTGGTAATCGATTACGAGCACTGACTCCAAGGGTCCTCGCTCTTTCTGCAGGAATAGTTCCCAAACTGAAAATACTTTCCACTCGCAGTACTCTATAATTTCTATAATTCTACATATATAGATATATATAGATATATAGATGCCAGAACCATTCGCAGTGCAGGCTGCAAGGTCAAGCCAAAGTAGTGCATCGATGTTTGTTCCATTTTCGCACCATTTTTCATTTTCCACAGCCTGTCCACGCCCACTTTGCCGGCCTGCCCCCGCTTAGGGACTTGTTTTCACAGGGCCAACAACAATGACACCGAAAAAAGTCGATCAAATAGAACGATGTCGTGGCAAAATCGAGAGGGGCGGGCGGTGGAAAGTGGGCGGGGTGGTTCTTTGGCAGATGAACTTAATTGTACTTTTTAGCCAGGCAAAAACAGAGAACAGAAACAAATTCCCCCAAAGGCCCGAATGGCTGAGCGAGGGAATCGGGGCGTGGGAAAAGTGGGCATGGCCATTGCCCCAGGACAAGGCGAAGGGGGGAGGGGAAGGGGGGGAGTCGTCGCTGTGCGCCTTTCAATGGCTTAAGTAATTTTCCATTTTCCGTTTAGGGGTCTCTCGGCATTCTCGTCTCCCTTGTCCCTTGTTCCAAAATGTTTGTTTTCCCTTTGTGGGTGGGGCGCCATCTCCTCTGGCATCTTTTTAATTTGTTGCTCCTCCCCGTTGCAATGAATAAATTTCCCAGCCAGCGGCTTATGGAAAATCACGTATGCATGGAAAGGCCAAGGATCACATGGCTAATTCCCCTAGACAATAACCAGAAATGCCGAAAACCTCGAAAATCAGATGCGTGGATATTGTGTATTGCTTCACATTGAAATATTATGAGCACTTTTAACGAGTGCCTTTGTATCTGCCATCTCCAATAATAAACAGAGAAACAAACTGCACCTTATGCGACTTCTACTCCAGTTGTTTTCCCGCCAACTTGTGGACTTAATCATTTGTAATCGTTTGGGGATAAGAAGTTCTGCTTTTCCAGCTTTTCCCCCCTTTTTGCCCTGGCGAACAAAATGAGATAAAGCAGCGACATTAAGCCGAGCGGCCAAGAAGAAACTTCGCAGACATGTTGAATTAGTAGTTCACATACGCTTTCCCCGCCGCTTTTCACCGACTTTCCACGGCTTTTCCACGAAACGCTTAAAGCGTTTAGAGTTTTCCTTGCCGTAATCGCCAGTGCAAAACTTTTTCGATTTGGGAATTAAAATAAGAGGCATCAGCAACAATAGCTGCCCCCTGGCTACGGAGCTATTTCCTTCCTCTCTTGGATTTTCCAGCACCCCTCCCCCTCCTCCCACTTCCTCCTCCCTCCTCGATTTCCATCTCCCGCCGGCGATCCTGCAGCCGAAACTTTTGCCGGCCACTCTGCACGCTTCGCTGGGGCTTTCCAGCCACCCGCCACCCTCGAATTTAATGGGCAATGCCAAGCTGGGCGTGTGGCCCGCCCCAGTTTCCCGGGAAAAGCCGCCTAGATAAGTGATAAGCCGCCACACACAAATTGGCAGCAGCGCCGCGGAAGTTTGCCTCCTCCTCGGCGGGATTGGAGGCACCTTGCGTGTCTGGAGCCCATAAAAGGGATTAGACGTCTGCTTGCTCCAGGAGGAGCAGGTCCCACTCCGAATCGGGAGCTGCGCTCCATTGGGACGATCGGTCCCCGGGGAAATACTTCTGTGAGATTACGCTGCATGATACAGCTTGTTCATGTGTACTATATACTCGTAT